GGCCGATCAACACAATTTAAAAACTGGTATAAAGTCCACACTTTTCCCGTCAGTTGTTCCGTCTGTCCTGCTCACGTCTCCAATGGTTGTACACGTTGTCATTAACGTGGCTTCACTCCACATCAGCCACTTTGCTCGCTAAAACACCGGCATCGGCACATAAGGACGCTGTCATAGCCTGTCAACCACGTTGATTAGCTGCATATATACGAATGTGAATCTTTATTGGCTGGATTATGGGATAAGGTGGCATCGTTGTAATCCCATACGGGAGCAGCCAGTCACTCACTGACTAACACTACAAAACAGAATTGTTAAAGTTTTAATTTTAATTTCAATTCAGGTTAGATTTTTTTTTGTGTGCAACGCAGATTTTCTGTGCGCAATTGTGCACACGCGCAGTTTAGAGGGAACATTATTAAACACCCCTTCTTCTCTGTATCCTCTGTCTTTCTTTACATTTTGGGGCTATTTCTGATGAGAGAGCAGTCTGAACCATTGCAAAGGAAGAGTCAGCAGCCCTTGAGGCAGCGCTGGCTTAATAAATCTCAGCAGCTGACACTGATTCAGTATAGTCTACTGCGCTGTGAGCTAAAGTGGAATGCTACTACAGAAAATCGTACACCAGAAGTAATAACAGTCTCCGATGCCTGAAGGGGACAAAAAAGTTACCATCTTGTGTGCATGGTGTGGAAGTCTGATTTTAAAGAAGGGCCTGACCTGGAACCAGATGGCATTGACGATCTTGCTGAGGACAAACAAGGGGAGGACCCAGAGAGCACTGAAAACGGAGGTCAGGATGAACTCTAACCAGGACCACACACTGCCATGGAGGGACGGGTCACCTGGAGTAAAAACAGCTTTGTTAATTATCTGCTTCCCGTAACACACCGGAAAACTTGGTCCAGATTGAGCAGCAGCCATACATACCAATGATTTTTGCCGTGAGAGCCTGCAGGAGTGGAATAAACACCCGGTAAAAGAGAAACAGACTGAGCTGAGAAGAGAAAGAGAAATACCTTTGTTATTCTTTAACTTGTGCTTCCCTGCATAGCGTGGTTGTTTAACTTTGGTATTCAGCTTTGATACTTTAGTGGATAATGATGTTTCACATTTGAGGCAGTAACAGTTTAAGCTTACCCAGAACACTCCTCCATTCCAGGCACAGCATTGAAAAATCCTGCTGGCTACTTTGGGATCACTAGAAGAAAAATGAGCAACACTAATGTTTCACTTTCGCGTGACTTGATTTCATTGCTTCTAAACAAACTCCTGAGAACTGTCAGCGTGCTGCAGTTTGCAGGGTGGATATGATGATGGCCCCAACTAGATAACATATTGTAATTCACACATTATTATATTTACTAGTGAAGAAAACAAAATGCGACCAAAATGTGTTCGGGTGCTTACTTGTCCGGTTTGCGCTCCTCACTCTGTGCCCGTCTCTGTGCCAGGGCCCCGCTGGCCCTTCTCCTCCGCTGCTCTTCCCTTTTCTGCTGGATACGAGCATCCAGCTTGGAGATTGTTCCAATCCCCAATATGGAGTCCTTGATCCCCTGTAGAGCATAAATACAAAAAGAGACAGTCGGAGCATTTCTACAAGTATCTTCTCTGTAATGAATGATCCCCGTGAGGTCAGTAAAGAACATTTGACATTATTTCAAAGACAAATATTATTTCTGGAGGCTCTTGAAGTAACCCGGACACGTTCAGGCTGCACAGGTTCAAAGTATGGCTTAATAACACCGTCACTGGAGCCCAGCTGTAGTTACAGTAGTGCCAACTGTGCTTTGCATGGTCATGGCCACACATCTTAATCTTTGAAGTCAAACACTGTCAGTCTCATGGCCATGCAGTCTGGTTTTACCAACATTTGTAAAAGAATGAGTCATTCTAAAGACCTTACTGAATAATGCCTAAACATTGCCAATGATCTGCTGAATCAGTAACTGCAGAGCAACATCCACCTCTGGCATTAACATCAGCTCAAACTGTGTGATGCAAGCTTCATTGCATGCATTTCCATGGGTGAGCTGATGATGTCCTGATTTGACCAATGCCTGGGGTTTTAGGTTTTGTGAAGCCAGCTAATCCACAGAAAACCTGGCTATGATGAACTTGCTTCACAGTAAAGCCCTTTAGAGAAACATATGCAAACATTATTGTGTCTTTGGAGGTTTTGTCTGGTTGAGTTTCTCTTCTTCTTACACTTTAGTCACAGATTCAATTTCTGATGAGTATTTCTATGCACTCAGTGAGTGCTGAAACTGGAAACAACCTCGTGTTTGCACAGATGCATGGACACAGCAGAGGTTTCAACACAGTTTCTGCTGCATGGAGGCACCTCTCTCTGCTCGTTATGTCCCTACTGTGGATCCACATTGTGAATTAGCGTGACATTTGTTGAGTAGAGAAGCTGTTCATTTTGGCTCTGCACTGGACCGTTACTGAAGCATTAATGATGTTAAACAGTGTAACTTAAGAGGCAAAAAAGCTCTTTAAACTTAGAGCAAAGTTTCCAAACTTGTGAAATTGTTTTTATTGAATATGACTTGTGTTTCTGTACAAGCAGTTTTTCTGTCCCAGTGACCACTGAAATGATCGCTCGACTTTTATTTAGAAAGAGACTTAAAAACGAGAGTCTGGGCTTATTCCAAGATGTCGGCTGCCAAGTTTCAAAACTGGCTACTCGCAGAACTTTAACATCCAAAACTCTGACACCAAATGGATGGAACATACTATCTACATTAAGATTGCTAAATCATGTGTATGTCACAGAAATCAGTCAGAATTACGATCTTCAGCTCGCTCTTTCTACCGTTTCAACCAGCAGGGCTGAATGGGTCCATTGTTTTGAATATTTCTGTTTCAGTTTGCATACACTACATACTTGCACATTATGTCATAAATTATTTATGAGTGCAGTGTCTTTGTGTTTGCTAACCGTCGCAACATCGCGGAGGAAAGCCCTGACGCTGTCTGTCATCTCTGCACCAGCTGCAGATCCATCAACTGCAGAAGGAGGGGGGGCTGGTGACCTGGTGGTCCGCTCTCATGGCAGGGAGGGGCTCACCCAGTAACCTGCAACAAACCAAAACCCAAGGAAACAAAGTGAGGGGCTGAATGGAAAACCTTCAACCTTTGAAATGCAGATGCTAACAGCTCTTGCTACTTGCTTTGCTAAGACACACAACTGCTTGAAGACCTATTTTCTTGTGATTTTTGTTAACTCAACTGTCACATAATATTTAATGTTTTTACCTCTTCAATGAATCAGCTACCTGTATAACAAGCTTATCATTTGGCTTTTACAAACAGTAGCCTTTCTAAACCTGGTAGTTTTCCATGCACATCCATAAAAATAAACCTCCATTAGTTTGTGTTTTACATGCATCAGAAAAAGCCTTCTAATACTAAGAAAGTTCAACAATACAATGTTTGGCAAATTCTCTCAGAGTTTTGATATTTGGTCACCGTTTTTACTGTTTCACAAGCTGATGATGATGTAAGTCTTTATTTTAAAAACCATTATCAGCAACATTTGACATATAGATATCTATATAGATATATATCTTTCTAAAAATACCTGTCCGCACACTAAACACGTGCTCTTACAGAATACCTAACGAGTTTCATATAGATCACAACTTAATAACTTCTGGACAAAATCTATCAGCATCTAATGCCTTGCTAAGAGAAGCAAAGCTTATGTGCGTTTCATAAACGCTGCTATCGTCTTATTTGTTGCATGGTGACATTATACACCAGCGATGTCCTCTCCTTTGTCTTAAGATGCAAACGTTTGTCCACCTATTGTCTCTGTGCGATACTGTTTTATTCAACGCTAGCAAGCTGACTCAGTGGGTTAGCGCAAAAAAGATGATAACACACACTCAGGCTAACTGGCTCATTGTGGTCTGCTTAAAAATCCTCTAAAACTGGCATAATCTCATATATAGAGTTCAGCATGTTACCTATGGCCCTGTAATCGATGACTTTCGCTTCTTTAGTGTTCAACTAGCTTGTCTGTTTGTGATGCTAGCTAAATTATCGCTCAACAACTAATTTAACTGTAGACTTTTTCTTCCTGATAACGTCCATACAAATGATTAACAGACAGATAGAGCACACATTTAACAAAGGTCTGGTGCTTACCTCATGCGACAGCCACGGTGTTACAATAACTTGGGAAATTCTTTCTTTCTCTTCCTTAATGTAAACACAACAAACAGCATACAGCCACTGCCAGCAGCTAGGGCCGTGGAAAACAAATTGCGCAAGCTCCAACCTCGAAGGAGCATGGGAAGCGTAGTCCTCAATACTGGAAGGCGAAGACAGAAAGTGGAGTAAAAGCTCATTAAAATGCTAAGGGGTGTGTCCACTTTATGACGCATTTTATTGTGTGTCGAGCATTCATTACGTATTTATAATAAGTTATTAAGACGACAGCGATATTTTATTTTCTATATCTCTGATGTTATATGATTGTGAGAGAAGCTAGATAGCTTTGTTAGCTTTGTTATAAGGTTGCAGAATTAAGTTTTGCTGTGTTGCTATCGGCTCACGATGGAATAAAAGGAAATACATTTAGAACATATCCACATGCAACTGCAGCAGGTAGTGAATAAAGCAACGATTAGCATGACAAGATAAATGGAATTTTTAAATCTCACATGCAAAGTACGTGGTGTTAGAAAAATGCAGCACAGCTGGGCCTCGGGCTGTATAACAATGAAAGTTAGCATATTCAAATTCACGTGTGTGTTTGAAGTGAGGACGCCTTGGAGAGACCTCATGCAGAGAAAATGTGTGAAAGCCTGGGAACTGACTGAGGAGCAGATAAAGAAAGGTTGAGGTTATGGGTGGAGGTAAAAGACTAAAAGCTGCAGCACATATGAGCTTGTAATTGAAATGGAGAAGCTGCAGTGGGGCAGAGAAAGAGCAAGCTGCGTTTGAAACGCTGACCTAAAGCTCCTTAAATACCTGCAAAGTGTCTTTTTTTGAAGCACTGACAACTTCAAGGACGAATATAAAGCTAAAGAAGAGGCCTACAGTCAATTATTTAAAAATACTACAACAACAAACATAACTAATGCAAAATGTGTTATGATCAATCTTAAATTCGATTTGATTATTTTAATAAAGCGCCCAAGAACTTTATATAAATTTGGAATGTAAATATGGGAGTTTTATTATAATAACTTGATAAGGAGCCATTTCTATCACAGAGACATAAACAGCATATTGCTTAAAACTGAAAATGCAGTGTTGTCTAGCTGCTCCACCTTTGTAATGATGGTGGGTCCGTGTATAACATATGAACTGTGGCCAGACATCGTCTTCTTTTATAAATTAATCCACTGCATACTTTCCTAAAGAAGGGAAAGAAAGAAAGCAATGAAGCAGCATTCCTTAGTTTTTAGAGAATTCCACCAGCTCTTGTGGCCATGCAGATAATTCCAGGTCATGACAATTATTTAGGAACCTTCCTAAATAAAACTCATTAAGAGTTTGAGAAATTTTATGAGTGAGTGTGTTTTCACAGTGGAAGAGAAAGAGCACACCAAAAAGAAAAGGAGAGCAGGTTTACACACGTGACTCTAACAGCTTCTACAGCTGCATATTGAAAATCGACACGACCACTAACCACCACAAAGTTACGTGTGCAGGGCTATTCCGACTATGAAGCCAATAGAAACAATTAGCTGTAGCTAGTGGCTCTAACAGCTAACCCTGGTTTGTCTTCCTTTGCTGAGGAGCACAAATAATCATCTTTTCTGTCTTGAAACCAGAGCAGTAGCAACTAAAGTTGAAAAAACGCATCAGGAAAGTATTTACAGGGGTCATAAGATAAGGGATCGAAGAGCCATTTCCCACTTACAAGAGTTGCTGCTTGCTGGCCACTAGCTAAGTCATATATGAGTGTTGTGGTGGTACAGAGCTTGTGGGAACCTGGGTGGGTCGTGAGTGGCTGGGAGAGGTTAAGAAATGTACAGGCCTGTGTAGAGTCTATTGGACTACTAATGGCACTTAAAGGTAGGGATAGTAGAGGCAAACAAAACAAAATACCCCATTTCAACATGTGTCAAGTGAAGAACATGAACTGGGCACCACTGTGGGGTTGTTATGGTCCCCAGCACATGTAGAAATAAGGACCAACTCCATAGAATGAGTTATGAATGACGAATGAAGGGCAGCAATATGCAATTAGCTCCACACATCTAGACAAGTTTCAAAAGAAGATAAAATAATGAACACTTTGGAGATATGATATAACTTGCCGCATTCCTCATTATTTTTATATTTTAGACTAGACACTATTTTTAAGATGGAAGAAACTTTTTCAGGATTAAATGTTTTCATTTTGTTTGTTGTTTTTTCTGGTAAAGCTCTAAAAAAAGAAGAAAAGAAAAAGGAAGCTGTGTAGTAGTTCTTACAAGCCAAACAATACCGAAGACAAACCCTGCTGCTAATGAGGTGAGTTAGATTTCCATGGCTCCGCGCAGAGGCACTCCCACGAGGCGGTGCACTGTTCAGACCAGCATCATGCGTTCATCTGCACACAGATGCTGCTGTGAACTTAACTCGACTGTTGCTTATGTTGCCAGAAGGGATCTCGCTCTCCATCCATGGTTGTCCTCAGGATAAGAAATGTGCACAAAAGGAAATATGCACTCATCTGCCTGTGCATTGCTGGATTCATCATGTACAGATATCTTGGGTAAGTTCTTAAAATGTTACGTATGTTCCAGTAAGAGGTTGTTGTTTTCACCTCTAATGCAACGATTCAGCTTGATGTAGTTTTCACAGACACACAATTCAAACAGTCTCAATAGTAATATTGTTTGTGTGGCTTCTATAACAGTACAACAGTGTCATTGTATTACACACAGTTTGACGGTTGTCATAAGAAACTTTATTTATTTTGGGAAGTGAATAATAAGAAACTAATGGATGATGAAGAAAATGTAAAAGAAGCCCTTATGAGTTTACTGAAGTCTGATGTCCTCCTGCTCAACTCAAGACATCTGCAAATTCCTGCCAAGCATGTCATGTGGTCAGTTAGAGTACAATAGCCTGTGTTAGGCATTAAGTGACTGTGACACACTGAGTGGAACTCCTCTTCCAGCATGTCGGAAAGGGGGAGGAGGATGAGCCGAAAGGTCGGCTTGTGTGCCAACACGTCCCAGTTCACCCTCGAGGGAGAGCCCTTCCGCATCATTGGGGGATCCATCCACTATTTCCGTGTGCCCAGGGCCTACTGGAGGGACCGCCTGATGAAGATGAAAGCCTGTGGGATTAATACCCTCACTACGTACGAACACTGCTCCAGTGATTGAGTTTAGAATCACAAGCACTGTCACTGCTGAATGTTAACTGTGGGCGCCCTCCATCCTTGCAGATATGTGCCGTGGAATCTGCACCAGCCGGAAAGAGAGGTTTTTAGCTTCCAGACACAGCTGGATTTACAGTAAGGAGAATTTTCTTTTATGATTAATCACCACACAGCATCCTTCACACCACCTTCCTAGCTTCTCTAACAATATTACCTGCTCTAAGGTATTTTGGATATATTCTTCATTTTCTCCTCATCATCTAAGTCCTCAGTGCTCAGGGGAGATGCTAGAGGCAGAGAGTCCCACCTGACAACAGCAGCATCTCCATAACAAAAGCAGCTTATCGAGCAATTAACTGCACAGCGATGATAAGCGAAGAGAGAGGTCCTGCCTCTGCCAGTGTTGTTGCCAGGCACTTTTCAAACTCACCAAACAATAAGAAATGGAGCCTCACTGTGAGTCTAAACTTTGGGTTTGCACAGGAAAAAGTTGCTTGTTGATTTTCTTTTCTGTTTGGATTTCAGAGCCTATATCAGTCTTGCAGCCGAGATGGAACTGTGGGTGATTTTGCGTCCAGGACCCTACATTTCCTCTGAGCTGGATCTAGGAGGACTGCCGAGGTAGTCACGGTGTTCTCTGTATGTAGGTTTATGTAGAAATTCAGAATTTTTTTGTGTGTATATTCATATGGTATGAAAAGGGACGTTAGTTTAAACTGCAAGTCTGTTCAGTGCCTGTCCTGAGTAAATAGATTTGTATTTAAGTGAATTTAACCGGACAGCACAAGAGTTACTTGATCTAACGCACAAAGTGCCATTTTTGCTTTCTGAATGAAATCAGGGTGGAAGAGTCGCATCTTGTTTAAAGTAAAGGCTTGCTCAGTGTCTCAAGCTTTGTCCAGTATTTTAGACTGACTGTGGCTCTGTTGTTAAGTGTTAACTGAGCATGTTTTCTATGTCTTTGCAGCTGGCTCCTCCAAGACAGCAGCATGAGACTGCGGACGACGCACCCAGGGTTCATTCAGGCTGTCAACACTTTTTTTGACAAGCTGATACCAAAACTGGTTCCATTGCAGGTCAGGCTGGAAACATACCAGCTGAAGCAGAGTCTGTTAATCTTTTTAATTAAAAAAAAAAATGCTTGTTTGTGTTTTTTTAGTTCAAGAAAGGAGGTCCAATCATTGCCGTGCAAGTGGAAAACGAGTATGGCTCCTTTGCAAAGGATCAGAGTTACATGCTTTTCATTAAAGAGGTGACTACACATGAAACTTGATGGCATAGAACGGATCAATAGGATTATTTTCACTTCTTCCTTTGTGTTTTATTTTGAAAGGCTCTGCAATCCAGAGGGATCAGCGAACTGCTGCTCACATCAGACAAGCACAAAACGTTAAAGTCTGGGGGTGTGGATGGAGGTATATTAATAATCACACACCTAAACATAAACATGCACACACACAGTTAACCTAATCTCGTGTAGCCCTCAGGACAGTGAAGCTTCAGAAGCTAAATCAGAGAAACATCCAGGAGCTGACTGCTATCCAGGTGAGTCTCACCTTTCCACATCACTTGTATCCATCACTGATGACAGTAAGGAGATGCAAGCTGACTGTGTGCGTGCTGCTTTTCAGCCCAACAACCCCACCATGGTGATGGATTACTGGACCGGCTGGTATGATATCTGGGGAGAGCTCCACCATGTGCTGCCCCCAGAGGGTAAGGAGGGTTCTCTGTGCTGCTAGTGGCATGTTGCTCCCCTGCTATTCATAATCAACCTGGGTGGTCTAACAATGGAGTGTCGCTCAAGGGAGTCTTCATAATTCAGCGAGGTGGTAAAAGAAGCGTACACATCCTTCTCTTAGTATCTCTGAAAGCCAATGCTACATAGTGATGTTACATTAGCAAAAAACAGGCATAAAGTGTCTTGTGCAAATTGAATTCTTCTTATATTTTATAAAATGAAAAGAAAAATATTGTGGAAATCATTGCTTGTAGTTATTTTATTAGTCTTTCATTCGTTTTTATACATTTGTGTGCAGCTTGTGCAGTGAAATACAAATCGGTCTAAATCTCCTGCTTCAGAAACCAAATTTGGAAATTGAAATCTGTTGGGTTTTTGTCTTATAATTACTGCTTTAAAGCAAATTTGTTTTAAAAACAGTCGTTTACATCAACCAAACCAGTAAACATGGAAAACCTGCTTGTGAAAAGAAATTTGGATACAGCCTATTATTGTCTGTCCCCTCTGATACATCTGTTTCACTAGTGCTACTCTATCTCCAGTTCCTCTAAACTGCTGTAAATGTGCTTTCTTTCTCACCCCAGTGTAGATTTTTGCATGAGAAATGGCAGCTACATGCTCACAGTGGACATGCAAATGTCAGGGTCGTGCTGCTTTTGAATGAGTCACTTACGCATTTAAGAAAATGAGTCAGAAGAGTTTCGGGATTCAAAATTTGTATTTGCATGAATCCATTATTCTAAACACTGTGAACACGTCTCATTTCTTGTCAGATATGGTATCCACTGTAAGGGAAATTCTGAGGAGAGGCATGTCTGTCAACTTGTACATGTTCCACGGAGGATCCAGTTTTGGCTTCATGAGCGGAGCACTCGCCAATCCCTCATACAGAGCTTTAGTCCCCAGCTATGGTTGGTTCCTTTGTACTGTGCTCAGTCTCAAATAGACTCTCATGCAAATTCACAAAGACGTTTGAGTGATTAATAACTGCCGTATGAGAGCTGGAAAATGTCGTGTTCTGTACTGTTGACCTTAACACCCAGCAGGTGGCAGCAAATGACAGTTTTCGCACACTGTTGATGTTCCGCAGATTATGACGCTCCTCTGTCTGAATCTGGGGAATACACTTCAAAGTACCATCTTCTCAGGGATTTACTTTCCCGATACAAAAACAGTAAGAAAAACACGAGATATGCAGCACATTATTACATTCAGTTACTGACCTCTTTGCCTCTCTGTGCAGCAGGAGGCTCTGACAGTCTCCCGGACATGCCAGTCCTGCATTACAGGGAGGCTTATGAACCAGCCATTATGTACCAGCACCTTTCATTATGGGATGCTTTAAGCTTCACAGAAGGAGTACGTTTATGTGAGATTATCTGTGACGTACGTATCCTGCAATGTAAAGAATTTTGCTTTTCAGACAGTTCAACTGTTTCAATTGTCTCTGCAGCCATTTAGGTCCGCCAAACCAGTAAACATGGAAAATCTACCCGTGAACAACAGAAATGGACAGTCCTATGGCTACACTCTGTATGAGACTATCATCACGAGGGGAGGGCTGTTACAGTCAGGGGACAATGTCAGAGACCGTGCCCTGGTGAGTTAATGCACACTATACATGTGCATGATATTTATCCATAAGCTAATTGCTTAGCTTCCATAATGTGTTTGTAGCTGCTGAAAACAAATTTATTAAAAACAAGGAAGTCATGTCTTACTGCTAAAAGATATATGTCTGTTAAATATAAACCTAGTGGCATAAGATAGTCAGCATAGAAAAATTGCAAATATGGGAAAACAGCTAACCAGACTCTGTCCAAGGGTTCAAAATATCCTCCTAATAGCTCATTCATTAAACATTTTTGATATTGTTCATAAAACGAACAGCAAATAAATAAATAATTAGAAAAAACCCTGCAAGAACAAAATGATTCCTTCTTGCTGAAAATTTGAACGATCAAATATAAGCAGGAGCCAGAGGACAGTTAACCTAGTTTACATCAGTCACACAGGCCAACAGACTAGTTAACAACCACGCGGCAACTGCTGGTCATTATAAGAAAATTAATATTTCGCAGCCGGCTGTGAGTTGTTAAGCTGTTAAGTATAAGCTATTCATTCCTGAAAAAGACAATCAGTGACTTCATGGTAACCAGTTACCTGAGTGCTGTGATTGCTTTGGTCACTGTTGCCAGGGCCACCTGTAGTTTGTACTGAGATGCCGACTTGTCTGCAAACACCACCTCTGAGTGGTCAGCTAGCACATGTTGGGGAATATATTTTATACACTTTCCTCTAGAGTTTGCCACTTTAGCCCAGACTGAGGTCTTAGCAGAGCAAAAACACTGGGAAACAGTGACTCTGTCCAGTTCGCTCACTGTTACTCAAGATTACAAAATCTTGTAGTTCCCTTAAAGGCTGCATGCACATATTTCAGTTGTGAATTGTTTACCAACAGCTTACTTCAGTTCGATGTCAGAACTGCTTACGTTATTCAACAACTGAACAAATGTGATCAAATGTCACACTGAAGTTATAAACCTAAACTCATCTGTTTGACCATCTTCACAAGTTCTTATGTATTGTTTACAGCTCTCTGCTCGTGGATGTCGTTTCCAGCTTTTTCCTCTCTCACTTTCATTTGTTCCTGCGGGATAGTTGCCCGCTCTGTCTCTACACTTGATGGGCTTCTCTCCCTCACATATTCTCTGGTGAATTTTAAATTCTACCAATTTTCTCAAAGTTAATGTCAGCCACAGCTATATCTGACAGCTCAGGTGCAGCGCAGGATTGAGCCAGAGGAGGACTGCTTTATGACAAACTATTCCACTGTGTAAATCTGAGATTTGTGCTCCTACGGTGTGCAGAAAATCTTCAGACAGTTCATTGTTTTTTCCACAAAAAAAAAGGATTACAAAATCTTGTAATTCCATTATAGTTCCTGACCTGTCTGGTAGGGGTGCAACGATACACAAAATTCACGGTTCGGTTCGATACTTTGGTGTCACGGTTCGATATTTTTTCGATACAAAAAAATGTTCATGCCTTTTTAATTTGTCATTTATTAAAATTATAAATATATATTTTAACTCAAAAGTACAGATTTTAAATTTAATGTTGCTGAAACAAAAGTAATTAAAAAAATAAATATATCTCAGGGCTCTCAAAATGTCAAAATCCCTGGTAGCCCTTCGGGCAGGGACTCTTCAGTTTTTGGTAGCCCAAAATAAATGTAAGTAGCCCGAATAAAAAA